TGCATTATTTCCTTCATTCTCATATTCTCTACCCTTTTAAACTTTGAGCTGTGTATGATTCTTTTTCCTCTCTCTATGTAATTCTTCCTTGACAGTGAACTTGAGGCAGTATCTGAAGGCTACTAAAAATAGGTGAGAATTTATGTATGAGCCTGTCTGCTGAAAACGAAAGAAAGCATACTGAAGTCCTTTTCACATTTCTTAAATTGCTCTTCCAAGTCTTCAGAAAGTCTGCCAAATGGGGAACCACGATCCAGTTTGCAGGAGGTGTAGACCCTACAATTAAGTGTTTGCAAAGTGTGGTTCAGGATCCCTGGAATTCAGAATCACTGGGGTGCATACTACAAAAGCAGATTACCGGGCTCCCTCCCAGCCTCGAAATCCTAATCTCTAGGAGTTTGATTTGGTAATCTCAGTTTCCATAAACTCCCTAGGTGATTCATATGCGTAGTGAAGTTTGAGAACTCATACCCTAGATTTATCCTGTCAGCAGTAGCAACAGGAAAATTACCTATGTAATAGTTTCCTATCACTGTAAAAACTCTCTTCTCTTAATTTATGGGTAATGTAGCTGCTTTTAAATGTAAAAGGTATGTATTTTGAGTAATGGGAGGATTTTTAACTGGTTGAATTGAATAAGATACAGAAAAAACTGAAAGAATTTCAAAAATACTTTGCATCTAATCATTTATGTTGCGTGTCTTTCTTCATCGAAATCAGTTTTTCTTAATTTTGATGTCATGTCACCTTTTCAAAATGCTGCTCCCTAGGCCACCCTCCAGAACAGTGAATTCAGAGTCTCTGAGGGGGCTACCCAGACGTTAGTACTGGGACTGTGGATGGTCCATAGAGATGAGTTGGCTGGACTATAAGAACATAAAGATTAGTTTCAAGGTTGTATAGGCGAACCCAGTGATTAAGAAGACACTGGATCTGACATAAGAGGGGAGAAAAACCCATTGAACTGTGAGACCCTGGTCTATGTCCTGTACTGTAATCCCCGCCATCATTTCTAAAAATATATCTCTTTACTCCTGTATATTTTTTCAAATCCCATTTTTCTGAGACCCTTATGGCAGATTTCATAGCTAATTAACATATCCTAATTTCCCAAGGTCATAATTACACCAGAAGTAGATTTTTTCTTTTTCATGAATTACTATACACTCATCCAATTATATTCTTATCGCAGAAATATATATATATTTAAATTCACTACACCCACTCTAGCAGATAAAAATCAAAGGAAAAGTTTCCCAAATCCACTGCGGCAGGCTGAGGGTGTTAGATGGATAAGATTCCTGTCAGGGACCTAATGGCCTAAACGAGCTCAGCAATGTAAAACTACAGGGGCAAAGGTATGACACAGGATGCACAAGTAGTTCCTTTTTCCTGGTGTCAGAATGTCACAGCATTACAGCTGAGCTGTGGCTCCATTAATCGATTCAGAATGATTTCTGTTGAGCAATTGTTCTCTCTAAAGAAAAGCCAGTGCAATCTGCTAGCAACTGCCACTTTGTATCAAGTATGAATTATGCTGTATAAGGGGTTCAGGTGCTCACATAAATTGACTGTCATAAAATACTTGTGTGTGATAATTCAGTGAGATCATCTCATTCACATGATGAAAACAAAGGAGCAGAATAGTGACAAGAGAAGTGAAGGTGATAACCTCCACGCTGCTGACAAGAAAAGCAATGTCTTAAAACTGCTGCTAATTTATCATTCGCTCAGCTCGGAAATCAGCAGCTCCCCCAAGATATTCTTAGGCACGGTGATGAGATTATGAGAAAGGACGAGGTAGAAAACTGTCACATGCTGTTGGTGTGAATTGATCAGAACTAGTTGTCAATGAGTATCAAAATATGTATCAAGAGGTATTATGGTGTATACTCTTTGACCCCAGATATTTTCACTTCTAGGAATTTACCCCAAGGAGATATACCACAAGTGCAAAAAGTTATTTGCACAAGAGTCTTCCCTATAGTATTGTTTAGATTAGAAAAAATTGCAAAACAACATAAGTATTTACAGCAAAGGATTATATATAGGACATATGTGTAAGGATTTATGAAAACATTAAAAATGATGACTATTTATAAACGTATTAACATGGAAAGATATCCAATACTGACTACAAGTAAAATTTATAAAAGAGTAGGTATGAATAGTTATGCTCTGTTGATATAAAACAATATGCATATATCGACATGTGTATATAAAATAGAGAAATGTCTGGAAGAATGTTCATTGAAATTTTAATAATAGTTTCCTCTGAGTGGCAGAATCTAGAGTAATTTTTACTGTCTTTATGTATTTCCATGTTGCTTGAATTTTAACAACGAACATTCAGCAATTTTACAAAAACAATAAAGCTTTTAAAAAGAAAAGAATATGATAAGAAACTCTATGTGAGCACAGATGAGGCTGAGGAGTTTGGAAGGGTTCCCATGATTACACCTCCATTCAGAGATGATGATAATGATGATGACAGGTGAATTGCACAATAATCATTTGTGATAGCAAAAACATTAACTTACAATTTATTGAGAGTAGCAATATGTGTTCAGCACCGTAAGAAACAACAGTAGTAAGTGAACTTTAAACTGAAATTAAATATACAAGCACAGAAACACCTGCAAGCAGATCACATTGGGGAGAGTAAGGCCATTTTTGTGGGGAAAATAACACATGACATCTGAGAACTGCAATGTTGGAGTAATGAGCACAGTTTAACACAATTCAGGAGAGTTTATCTTGGCCCAGGAAAAGCTTTCTGGAGGAAATGGATGTGAGAGGTGAATTTAAAAGTGTGAATTAGACAGCTTGCTGGAGAGGAAGTCAAATAGGATATTTCACAGAGCCCAAAGGAAGGAGAAAGAATATTTTTGCCTCGGGATTTCCAAGGAATAAATGTGAAATGTCTCTCTCTTCCGTGGATGCTGCCAAAGTCTGCAGCCGAGCTCTGTCAGGCAGTGATACTTCCCTTAAGATGCCTTGGCACATTCATTGTACAGAAACTACTGTGGAGAGAGATCACCCTCAGAAAAATCACATAAGCAAATCCTTTGGGAAGCCCGTGTTGTCTCTTTTCAGACCACAAAGATATTACTTAATGTATAGCGGGAGCACTAAAGGAATGTTTTGCATTACGGTGTAAGTCTTGCAGGTAGGCTTGAGTCCATATCGACTTGAATGATGTTATTTCAAGGGTGTCAGACAGTTCTTCCCTTCTCAAAATAACCTTTGGCTGGTTCTCAGCTAAAACCTGAAAGTCCTGTAAATATTCATTTCTTTTTGTTGATGTTATTGCTTCTCTGGATAAAGGTCAACAAAATAGCTCTTTATCGGCCAGTGATGACTTATCATAGTTTCCATTATCACAATATGGAAGACCCAGGGACTGGGATACAGTAAAGATATTTTGATGGAGTTGGATGATAATGGCCAGTCCTTTGGATGCTACCTGGCTAGGCCTGTCCAGGAACTATAATGGCAGGTAGGTAGGTATAGCCAAGACTGTTTTTTTAAAATATTTAATGTTTTAATATATAAAACATAATGTTTAATTTAGTATGTATATAATACAAGTTTGTTTAAATGTTGAAAGGAGACAAATGACTTTTGCAACTCCTAACCAGGCACAATATTTATCGCAGTTTGTAGGTATCTATTTTGTGTAATATCATAGTTGTGATTATTCTCTACCTTCTCTTCCAGGTCGTAAGTTCTTCGAGACTTAGATCACTTCTGTTTGACTCACCTCTGTACTCCCAGCAGCTCCCACCCGGCCCACTGACTGGCACATAGTAAGTATTCGATAATATTCAATGAATCATAATAGAATGAATGGGACCCTAGACAAAGACCAAATACTCAAGAAGTAAGAAGAGTCAAGAGAAAGAATTTGGTGGAAAGAGGGGCCCCAAAGTAGAATAACCTACTCTGCTATTTATATTGGGTTTGAACTACTTGAGAGAAATATATCTCATCCTTATCTTTTAAAGCTCACTCTCACTTTTTCTTCCTATATTACTTCTAGTTTTTCCTGCTATGCAATTTCAGGATGACAGTTACCCTTCTCCTACGAAAAGTGAATTAAACTTAACAGAGTAGAATCCTAATGATCAAAGTCAAAGAAAATATGAATCTATTCAACAGTGGTGGTTCTTAACTTTTCTTTTAGATTTGTATTAGCTATGTATAGTTTTTGAAAATATTCTCCTTTCTTTTCTAATTTTTTACTTTCAAACTTTTTACATTAAATATGTAATAGTTTATTTCCTGTATCTCAATAATGTAGATGTCCATTTTTTCTATACTTTGTCACCCATCGGTACCAGAAAATAATTATTCCTATTTCGCATACCTTTATTCCCTACTATATTATCTGGAAAATGATGAGGGGAGTGATAAGGAACTAAAGAAGTGTTATCTGTGTCGTTAGTCACCCCTCCCCAAAATACAGGGGTTCATTTACCTAGCAAGTATTTATTGAGGGCCTACTCTGTGCTAGCACCTGGCTCTAGCCCTGAAAACACAGCTGGGGACTGAACAAAGTCCCTGAGAGCTAACATCCGAATCTACTCAGAGCCAGTTTACTTAAGATTGAGGTTCATTTCTTATATAAAACTTCGTTCAAATATGAAAAATACAACAATTTCTTAAGCATAGTACAATTGGGTCTTATTTAAATTTCCCAATTCAGAGATTAAAACAATAAAAGAAGCCCCTGTCATAAGGATCACACATCTAAGTTATTAGTCACTGTGCTCTGGACAGGAGACAAGTTTTTGTTTTGTTTTGTTTTGTTAATTAATTAATTTATTTTTGGCTGCGTTGGGTCTTCGTTGCTATGCAAGGGCTTTCTCTAGTTGCGGCGAGCGGGGGGCTACTCTTATTAGCGGCGCGTGGGCTTCGCATTGCGGTGGCGTCTCTTGTTGCGGAGCACGGGCTGTAGGCACGCAGGCTTCAGTAGTTGTGGTGCACGGGCTGTTGCTTCATGGTGTGTGAGATCTTCCCAGACCAGGGATCGAACCCGTGTCCCCTGCATTGGCAGGCGGATTCTTAACCGCGGCGCCACCAGGGAAATCCCAGGAGACACGTTTTTTCAACCCAAAGATACATAAGAGCAGGGCTTGTAGTGAATCTGCACGGCTTTTTAGAGTGACTCACGGTGCCATTTCCAAAGCTGGTTGTGGAGAGGATGCTGCCAGCGTTCCGGTGCCCGGGATGCTGTCACAGGGAGACAAGGAGACACAGGTAATGTTTCTTCTTTTAAGTTCCTCACCCTTACCTGCTGGGTTTATCCTAAGGCTGTAAACTAGGGGGAAAGAGAAAATTGTTCTAAGTTTCTCTTATCTGCCCCCTATTCCCACTCAGCTTCCAGCTGGAAATAGGAGCACTTGGTATTTATGCCTTCGGTATCCTCCATCCCCAGTGTCTAGGTTCGAGTTCCTCCAGAAGCAGACCCTGAGCAAAGGCACTGAGTTCAAGTGGTTTACTTGGGAGGTGATCCCAGGAAATGCAGTTAAGGGGGGCCATGTGAGTTCCCACACTCTTACTCAAGCTGCAGAGTCACCTGCCCGTCATCCAGCCTGACGACCTGCAGCTCAGACAGGTGAGGGAGCTAGACATTCACACCCGTGGAAGATGGCCTCCCAGCCCTGCAGGCCTCCCCTTCCCTCGCAATGAAAGGTGGGGTCTCTTTTTCCTCCCCTCAGACTGGGGCTGGCTGGTGACTTACTTTTATCGATAAAAAGTAGTAGAAGTGAGGCCAGGCAAGTTCTGAGCCAGTAAGAGACCCAGAAACCTCGATTTTCATGCTCTCTGAGAAGCCAGCTGCCATCCTGTAAAGAATCTAGGCTCATCTGCTAAATAATGAGACGTGTGGATAATGAGAAAGAAGCCACTCAGAGGAGTATCCAAGTGCCAGACACTTAAAGGAGGCCTGCTTGGCCTTGCAGCCCTCTAGCTGCCAGCTGAAGGCAATGGAACGAGGGCCCCAAGGCCATCTAGAGCTGAAGACCGCCCGGCTGAGCCCTGCCTGAATTCCTCCCCCGCAGAGTCATGAGAAACAATAATAAACACTGTTGTTTTACAAAGCGGCTGGGCGTCATTTTAGGAAGCTCGGCTACCTGACATGTGTACCAGCTCTGGTCGGTCATTGGGTAAGAGTTGCTCTTAGGGGGTGTTATTTCTTGGCACTTCTGGCCTGTTTCATAGGTGGGCAAAGCAGGCTTCACTTACTTAGAGATCATTTCAGAAAAAGAAATACAAGTTCTCTTGGCCTGTGGATGTCTGGCCAGTGTGTGCTGAGGTGGCAGAGGTACAGGGGTGTGGGCAGGGCACCGGCAGCCTGGCTGCGCTGGGTACTCTCGCTTCCTGGACCCCATAGACCTTCTGACAAACTGGGGTTTTCACCTTTCCTCTGAATCCAGAGCTCTCTACTGCTTCTGTTGTCAAAACTTAGTCCCTCCAGTTGACCAACTGTGATCTCAGTGTCCAAGGCAAATCCTTGCTTCCCTAGAGATTAAAATCTTTTTCCCTACACCTGATCCTTTGAAGCTTCTAAGTTGCCTGTTTCTTTCCTGAAACATTTGCAATTTCTATGTCAGTGGGTTTAAGGAAGAAGAAATCGTAATTTAGCATAATGTAGTGTATTAGGTAGTGTGGAATGTGAGTGCGTGCATGTGTGTGTGTTTGTGTGTGTGTGTTGTATGTGTGTTACCAGAGCAAAGAATTACAAAGAAGAGAATTTAGTCTCTTCTCAAGTGGTTCACTAATTGACAGGAGTCAATTAGGAAACAGTTGCCATCCAGCAACATTATCAAGAAAAAGTCATTCTTGTGCTGTCCTACTGGATAAAAGTAATGCTCCATCTAAGATGGAATGCCTGTTATTTTCCTTGTTTTTCCATTGGTGGCGATGAGGTCACCCAGAGGACCCAGTCTCTCCCCTCGTTGCCCTGGTAATCAAAAGCATGTAATTAAAAGCTGGCTGGTGACAGCAATGAATGTAGTTCTGTGACCCAAGACCAGTTTTTTCCTAAGCAAAGCTCATTAGACCACATTAAACTCACAATAGTTTAAATTCACCATGTGTACACTGGAATGATCATAAACTGAGTGTTTTAACCAGAGAATTCCCCGAAGGACAGAGGAGGTTTAAAACTTGTTTTGTTTTGTTTTTTTTAATGTGAGGACCCCGAGTAGAGGTTGGATTTTTCTGTTGCTTACACAAGGCAGGAATCCTTGCAGAGGACCCTGGTAGGGGAGGAGCCAGTTATGTGAGGTTGTTGCCTGGGAGGAGAGAGAAAGATGAAAAATGGGTTAGCTCGGTGAGGCTGGACTGGAGATGCCTTACTGCTGGACCACATTGTTGTCTAGATGATCAAGCCAACTCACAGTTCACTTAGTGTGTTCTATCTCCTAAACAGCTGGTTTAGGTCACTGCTCCAAAGGATGGGATGTATGTGATTTTCTTTTAAAAAATGGTCATGAAATGTTAGGGCTTGTTCACTCACATCTGTCACTGAGACAGTCACACACATCTCTTTTTTTAGTTGAAGAAAATTATGGAGGAAAAGAAACTGTGTAAATTCCACATACCTTCTAAGAAGTAGACCCAAACTCTTCTGTTTGGACCAGGCTTTGGAGCATCTCCCTAAACCTCCTCCCAAATGCTCTGAGAACTAAGCCCTAAAGCAGCCACTGGAGTTTTCCCCCTGCCAGATGTTTGCCGAGAGGACAAAAAAGGAGGGTGGCAAGTGGGCAGAGCAGACACGGCAGCCTGCTGTCCAAAACCCAGGCAGCTGTAACCGCTCCTTCCAAGGACAATGGGGGTTGCTCATGGAAGCCAGCGCACAGTAAGGTGGCTTCATACCCTCCCAGGAACCGACCTGCTGGACTTGGAGCAGGTTGTTTAAACTCTCAGCCTCCATCGTCCCACTTGAATAAAGACGTTGATAGTAGTACCTGCCTCGCAGAGGTGATGTCAACGTACGCTGCACGGTGCCTCACATTACAAGCATGCACTGAATGCCTGCCGTCCTTCTCATTATTAGCAGCAGCCTGCATGGGGGGTTCCTGACATGATGTGCTTTCAGCAGTACCGGGAAATTTCTCCACACACAGAGATTTTTCCCGGTCAGCCCTTCTTGATGCCTGAAGCTCATTAGAGAACTTCTCCGGTTTCTTAAGAATTGCCTTTATTAAAAATGCAACTTAGTAGCTCCAGAAGTGCCTTGTAATGCTTCCCCACCTCCATGACTGTGTTGTGTTCTGAGACACACCCCATCGTGGGGGTGAATGTCCTGGGCTCCTTGGGACACACACACACTTCACTGTTTTGGTGGGGCAGCAACCAACCTGTGTGTAAGCATGGCATAATGCAGAGGTGCTTAACCTGTGTGTCCAAACCTGGGGCTTCGGGGGTGCTATAATTTGCCTAAACTTAGACGCACAATTGTGTTGGTGCATTTGTGAGTTTGGGGGGCTGCAAGATCCATAGCTTTCACTGAATTCTCAAAGGGCTCTAAAACTGAAGAACTGCTGTGGTGGAAACAGCAACCCAGAACCAGTCCTCCACTGCCTCTTTCAAGTATAGCGGATCTCAGGGGCCTGGGGAGATCCCAGAGTGTATTCCAGCTAGGGGTGGGGAGATGGGTGCACAGTCAGATAGGGCCAGGGATGCTGTGGTGTGTCAGTGTGAGAGCAGACAAGGCGAGAGCCAAACCCACCCCTGTTGACTCAGCTCGCTTTTGGAAGCTGTGCTGGAGGGATCACGCAGATAGAGGTTCCACTAACTTTCTCAGCACAGGAAAGACTTGGCCTGGGGTGTGAGTGAAGCCTCAGGACTCCCAGCCTTGGTGTAACCCTGGGCCTCCAAGGTGCTGAGTTCTAGACAAAGGGATTACACTTGAGGTTCCTTGAAGTTTCTTTCTATTCTGAAGTAAAAGCATTCTAATGATTCCTTAGGTTTCTTTCTATTCTAAAGTAAAAGCATTCTAATGATTTCTTAGGTTTTCCTCATTGAGTATTTCTTCTTCATTGAATACTTCTCCCTGCCTGAAGCCTATGTAATGTGGATAGGGTTGCCAAGTAAACTACAGCACTCCTAGTTAAATGTGAATTTCAGAAAAATAATGAATGATTTTGTTTTATATGTCCCAAATACTTCATGGGACATACAAATACTTAAAAAAAAACCACTCACTGTTTACCTGAAATTCACATTTAACTGGGAGTTCTGTAGTTTTATTTGTTAAATCTGGTGTTTGGGGCTGAATTGTGTCCCCCCAAAATTCATATGTTGAAGTTCTAACCCCCAGTATCTCAGAATGTGACCTTAGATGGAGGCAGGGTGTTTGAAGAGGTAATTAAGTTAAAATGAGGTCTTTGGGAGGGGCCCTAACGCAAAGGACTTGTCCTTATAAGAAGAGGGAATTTGGACACAGCCATGTGCAGAGGGAAGGCCGTGCATAAACAGAGGGAGAAGAAGGCCATCTACAAACCAAGGAAGAGAGGCCTCAGAAACAGCTAATGCTGCCAACACCTTGATCGTAGACGTTCAGCCTCCAGAACTATAGGAAACAATTTTTCGTTGTTTAAGCCACCCGGTCTCACCCCGGTCTGCGGTATTCGTTATGGCATCTGTAGACAAAGAATGCTGCCTGCCATGTCAGTAAACAATGAATGTTGCCTGCCATCAAACCACCGGCCACTGCAGCTACCCTCTATGGGTCGCCCTGAGGGGAATTCAGGATGGAGAAAAACAGGATACTGCCCCTAGACAGTTAAGATTCATACCAGAGGAATAATTTCAATGAGCCCAGACGCTTGCATCTTCGCATACATAGGGAAGCACTAAAATTGTTAACTTGAGATGTCTGGTTTTTGTGATTAGCAGTAATCTTTTTATGCTTGACTAAATGGCTTTTCGGGTTTGTTTGTTTGTTTTTCCAGCAAAAACTCCTACATATATGCTCCTCCTTTACCTCTTGGGAACAGTTCCTCAGAGCTTAGAGGCTGTATCCCAAGCTATAGTCCTCAGTAAGGTCCCTAAATGAACCATAACTCTCAGCTCTTAGGTTGTGCGATGTTTTTTTTCAGTTGACACATCCCTAGCAGTCTAATACATCTAACAACTGCATTTGGCAAGCCCAGTCAGTAAAAGGACACAAAATTATGAATACAGAATTAAGAAAAAAGTGAAGATTTATTAGAATCAGAAAAGAAATCACAGCAAATTACCAGAGACCTGGAGATTTGACTCCCCTTTTTCAGAGACCCATTTAGGCAATTGGAACACCCTGCTGCTCTGGAACTCGCTGAGATCCCTGCAAGTGGAGGCTCTCAAGCTTAAGCTATATTAGTACTGTGGTCAGTTTTCATCTGCTGGGATGTTTTCATCTTTTCTAAAGGCTTCTCTGTGGATTTTCCTGGTTTCACTTGATTTTCATGGCAGTCTCTCAAATTACACAATTGGGTATTTTTGTAACTCTGTTTCCTCATCCTTTAGTTTTTAGTCTCTTTTCTCTCTTCTGGGGGTTAGGTTTTTAGCTCTTCAATTTCGTGTAAAAACAGATCTTAAAGTTTATAAACAGTTTACATTTTTCAAATTAGAGCTGTTTTAGAAACATATTATTATTTTAATTATATGAGAAACTTTGGTAACTTTTTGTTTTGTACATTTCATGAAGTCTAAAAGAGAAACAAGGAATTATATCATTTTCTTCCACATAAGGAACTCTTATAGAAACATTTAATTTGGGCCATAGGCTGCAGATTCATAGATATGTACATATATAAATGCATATGTGTATGTGTGTATTTAATACATTTATGAATGCTACACAAATTATTCTAAAGCACACCTAGTTACAGAAACTTGATTGACCAGTAGGACATTAGCTAAGTTAGACAAAACTGTTCTGTCATAACCATATATAAAAATTCTTTGTGGATAAAATATATGTATATTTAAAATATCATATGTGAAGGGTCCGTGGAAGACATTTCATTTTCATTTTGAATTTAAACCACTAGATTCAATTTTTTTAATTGAAAGAAGGTATTTTTGAGCATTATGACAGATTTCACATTAGCATACCAGGCAATATTTTTGACCTTGAAAATATTAAATCTCTTCCTAGTAAGGCGAGAACTTGACTTAAATGTACCATGATAGAAAATAAAAAGTATAATATTATAAAAGTATAATGATTATTTAAAAAAATAATTTTAGATGGATGATACAAGCAGGGAGGAGGAAGAAGGGTGGATAATAAGATAAGCAGATTGAAACATGGATGAAATATCAAGAAATGAAACTTAATTAGCAATTTTTAAAAAATGGTCTGAAGTAAGTTGTGTAATGTATTAGTGGATACACAATGGTAATTGAATAAACTAGCTCACCATTCTAGCTGTATCAGTCTTGTAGTGTGAGAATTTGTGCATCTATTTCCTTGCTTTTTCCCTCCAAAATATCATGGTGCATTGGTGTACGTGTGTGTGTGTATGTGTACACGTGCATGTGTGCAGTAATGATGTTGGTATATTAGATTATGTGTTTGCATATGTGTGAATTATGTAGTGATATTGGTAGGGCTGGTGGTGAACACCACATAACTACTGTAACTACTTCAGGGTATTCATCTTGCTTTTTATTCTATAAATTATAGTTTCTTTTACTGAAATATTTAACAAGGAATAGAATTACATTACTGTTTAATGTTTAATTCTGCCTTTCTTTTAGAAAAGGCAATTAATTAAATGCCCAGTAGTTATTTTTTACTATTTTAAGGTTTTTACTTTTTGCTTTAAATCAGCTTATTTCCTGTGCAGGTAATTATGCAGGTATCTTCCATGTGTATACATTTAATGCTTGTGATTTTTTTTTCTTGGAATTAAATATGTAACTGCTGATAAATTGTTACCCATGTATACAACTTTAGCTTGGGGGAAGCGAACAACAAATACTTCCTCACCAAAGGTCCTTTTCCTTATTGTCTGACCTAAAGATTTTTTTACAGCCCAAAGTTACCAGAAATAGCCCCCTCTTCTTTTAGGAACATTTACTTGCTATGCCGCTGATGTATCTGTTGTTACTCTGAATGTAGCTGCCTCAGGTTTGTTTGGTTATCATTCAGTAGCCATTTGTTGTGCTTTGAGGCCGTTATATTTTCAAAACTCTTCTTAATTACAGTTATTCAACTTACTATAAAACAGATTCCTGAATATTTTATTGTTCTCCAACTTTGCACAATATATCCTAGCTTAAATTAGTTGCAGTAAATGATGCTTCAAGAAAGGCTTATACATATATTTAGCTGAAGGCAGGGGTTGCAGAATACATTTTCCCATCTTTTGGAAGTATGCAAAAGCCTCATTGGAAGGTAGCTATTTGTACCCACAAAGACATATTATTTCAATAATCGGTCATAAAAAGAATGCATTGTATAGCATTGGAACACTAAGATGAACACTGCATTTAGCAGTGAGAGAAAGTGTCAGTTTTGAAAACATACTAGCCAGCATTGTTTGTTGTTTGTGTGTTTTTCTCTTCAGATGGAAAAAAAACTTTTTTGAATGGACGAAAGCTGCCTGAAGGAGCAGGAAGGAATAGGTGAAGAATCAGTAAGCTTTCATGGCCATCAGACTGGTAAAATATTAATATTTGACCACTCTAAGTGCAAGAGGACTCTCATACGTTCCCGGTGGGAGTATAACTAGATCAACCACATTAGAGCTGATGTGATGATACTGAGTCAAGTTGAGGATGCTTGTATCCTAAGCTCAGCAATACAACACCTGGATGTATGCCCTAGAGAAACTCTAGCCCACGTGTATAAAGAAATGCGTACCGGAATGCTCATTAAAGCTAATTTTGTAATGTTCAAATAGCTATTTTTACTATTTAAAAATAGTAAAAATTGGAAAGAGTACTGAAATTAGATGTATAAAAACATTTTAGTATATTCATATAATGGAATATTATACAGCAGTCAATATGAATAAACGACATGGGTTAATATAGACCAATATCAGAAATACAATATTTGAGTAAGAAAAGCAACTTACAGAAGGGTAGGCCCAATGCCATAGCGTTTATATAAAGCAAAAAATAATAATAATAAGCGCGCATACAAGGATTTGTCATTAAAGTATAAAAATGTACAAGGGAAACAAAAACATGAACATAAGGACAGTGGTTATCTCAGGGGCAAAAAGGAGGGAAATGAGATTAGGTACATAGAGGATGTTACCTGTATCTGTATAAATATATATGTGTAATATATAATTTCTTTTTAAAAAAGAATACCTAAGCAAGGCAGTGTTCAGAAAGAAAAAAATGAAGTGTTCTCCTTACTGCAAATGAATGAAAGAATAATAAATAAACTTTAAAATACAGATGAAAATAGATACCCTTGATAGTGATACATAAATTAATTCTCATATACTTAATACAATAGAGATGAAGATGAAGATTGCCAGGCCTGCTAAAAGTTTGGTTCTTTATTCACTAGATTTTAACCTTGATTGACTGTATTCAGTTGTGAAAGAGAAAAAAAAACAAAAGAATTACATCCTAGAAATATCAAGCATCGTATCTCAAAGGTAAGTAGTATTAAATACTTTGAGAAATTTAATTCTCTGGGAATAATGCTACCTTATTAACAGAGGCGCCTCTGGTTTGACTTCATCGTATTTGATTTTCAGATCTGTTTTTAGTTAACTTTTATGTAAGGAATCAAAAGAGTTACTTTATCACAAATCTTCGTAAACACACCAAAATAATGATCACATTCCCCTGTTCCTGCTCCGTTTTCCTTGCCTCATCCTGTCGCATCGTCAGTATTCAGCCAAGCACACAAGCTAGACTCCCCAGGCCCCCAGGAAGCCCCTTCCTACCTATCCCCCAGCCACATGTCCCAGTTATCCTGCCGATTTTGCCCCATACACCCTCCACTCCTTCTACTGCTCCATACCGTAGGCACCAGCAGCTTAACTTACTTGCAGTAAAAGCCCCAGCAGGCTGTCCACACCCCAGCTGACTGTACCCACTGTCCCTCAGTCTGACCATCCCCCCTCCAGTTCTCCCCACTTTTCTGCCAGCCTAACTCCAAGCTGAACCAGGTAGCTCCTTTACTTTCTGACCTTTCTGAGCTTCCCACTGCTGTAGCACTGCACTGCCTTGTAGTCCTTCCTTTCTACTGCACCTGCACTCCCCGAGGGCAGGAGGGACATCTGATGCACCTTTGTCCCCCATATCTAATGCATTACGTGAACCAAGTAGTGTGTACTCGATAAACTGAACGGAAGTGAGTAACGGTTGATAATCCACATTCAATACAAACTGTTAAGTTTAGAAGTATATTGCGGGCTTCCCTGGTGGCGCAGTGGTTGGCAGTCCGCCTGCCGATGCAGGGGACACGGGTTCGTGCCCCGGTCCGGGAAGATCCCACATGCCGCGGAGCGGCTGGGCCCGTGAGCCATGGCCGCTGAGCCTGTGCGTCCGGAGCCTGTGCTCCACAGCAAGAGAGGCCACAGCAGTGAGAGGCCCGCGTACCGCAAAAAAAAAAAAAAAAAAAAGTATATTGCACTAAGCCATTGGCAAAATCCTCACCCAAGAATGATTAAGTCTTCAGCTGGGTCCTAACTGCATCCTCATTTTCTGTTGTCATTTTAACTCCCCATTATCTTGGTCTACCCTCTATGCTCTTCTGGACTGAAATAGTCATTTCCTTGGGCAAGTAACTCAATGGGTACAGAGATTTTTCACACAGTTAACTCATTGCGTACACTTTGAGTATTGTGCTGGGTTTTCTAGAGCTGCATGTGTTGTTATTTCTAATCTGCAACTATACAAATCCATGGCATGTTGGAATTTAAGGAAGTTCATTATCCTACAATGTTTACTCTGTAAAATGTTTATTGTAATTTTAAAAATAACCTCCCCCACTTCACAAAGATCACTGACTCCCTTTATGTTGCTTCAGGACTATATCTTCAGACACACAGCCCCGCTTTCAGTGAGGGAACATGGAATTTAGGTTTTTTAACCCTTTTCAGACATTTATGGGCTACGGTGGGGCAGACATAACTGTGAACAGCAAATTACACAGAGATGTAACCCATACGTCCCACTTTGCAAGGTCTTATCTGTGAATATGTCACAGTACTGCATACCACTACCTCACCACCCTTCAACACACACACACACACACACACACACACACGTACTTGTTCTCACACAATCTTTATATTATCCACAAGGTCAATGACAGGCTTCTTTTACCTTTTTATACATAATCTTCAGTGCACACTCCATAAGGGACATTCATCAGTATCTGACATTTATTTGACAAGCTGAATTCAGCTGCTCTACATGACACACCATCCCCAGTGACTCATCAAAGCTGCCCGTTTCCCAAAGTGAATCGTGTCCCCAGATAGTCAGTGTCACACATTCTGCTACCACCACCCATACCAATTCCTAGATTCCTTTCTTTATTCCCGTAAGGTGCAGGCTTTTTGAAATAAAATGTTGCCTAGAAAGAATAAACATGAGACTAAATTCAATTCATGAAGATTATTTAACACACAAACTTTTGCAGAAGACGACTATTCATATGCAGCTTCAACAACATGTTTCTTTTTAAACGTTCTTAAAAGCAGTATTAAGAACCACTATTGGTAAATTTTGTCCACAAAGAAAAATATTCCAGTATATCTCTACATAAAATCCTGTCCATATGAAAACCAAGAATCAAGATGCAAAGGGATGGACAAACTATCCAGTGGTTCTCAAAGTGTGTGCCAAGCATCCCTGCAACCTTTCAGGGGACCCACAAGGTCAAAGCTCTTTTGATAATAATACCAAGATGTTATTCACCTTTGTAAATTTCATGGTGCGCGTATGGTGATATTTCCCAAAGGCTATATGACCTGTGATATTGCAATCATCTCATTTGACTGAATGCAGAAGCAGATATGAGAATCCAGCTCTCTACTCTTGGGCCAGACATAAGAGATTTGTAAAAACAGAACACATTGCTATTCTTCTCCCTCTCTATTTTTGTTTTGGAAAAGACAGTTATTTTTCATAAAAATATATTACTTATGTTGATGAAATGGTTTATAATTGTTATTTTAAATAAATTAAGTAAATATTAAAAATTTTTCCCAGTTTTAATTTTTAATAGAGTAAATATTGGTAGATACAACCTACACTTTAAAAAGCTCTTAGAGGTCATTGATCATTTTTAAGAACGTAGGTTTCCTGAGACCAAAATTTTGAGAAGGGCTGAACTATATACAAATAGGTGGGTACATTACTGTCAATTTGGAAACATTCTCCCTCCAAAACATTTTTCAAAGCAGTGTTTCAAAAAGATGTGTTCAGTGACTCAGAGAGGAGTTTTCATGTAGAAGCCTCTTGACTGACTATCAGCTGGCTGCACCTGGGCTACTCTCCACCCCATTTATCTCTAACATCCTCTATAGCTCCCTTTAGGTCAACAAAGTAGAAGGGGCGTGGCGGGCCTTCAGCCCCCAAGTGAGTGATGCTTGGAAAAGGCTTGCTCTGGGTCCTGAAGCTTTAGCTGTTTAAGCAAATGCCACCAAAGGGGTTTCACCTCTGTCTGACTATCTAAACCTCATCCTGTTTGAGCTCTCCTGGGACTAAAAGCAGCAGTCCAAAATATGTCTCTGATTTCTGGTTGCATAAGAATTACCTGGGACACATTTTAAACGTACAGGTTCCAGGCCCCAATCCAGACTTAAGGAATCAAAAGCACAGGGCTGAGAGGAGCACGTCGCTTCTCTTTGACAATCACTCCCCGTGATCCTTGGCATACAGTCTCCAGCAGACCACTGTTGAGGTGCCGGGCACCCAGAAAAGAGAGGAGGGTCCCTGGTGAGGGCATCCCCTCCACCCAGGAGTGCAAAGCAGGTAGCATGTACCTTGAGATTCAGGGAAGCCCTTGGCTGGGGTGGCTCCCAACACCTGCCAGTGAAGTCAGACCAGGGTGGGGCGCCCAGGCACACGGGGGTCCAGCAAGGAGAGGAGAGGAGGGTGCCACAGAGCCTTGGGGGGAATATTTGGGTTCAGCATGGTGACTGATGGAGAAGAAGAGAAAGAAAGGGAGATGAAGAGGGAAGTTCCAGCAGTGAGGGCCCAAGAGTGCTGAACTATCATTTTCCACCCACAATTTTGCTTAGAGCCAGCCCTAAGCTTTGGTGTAGTCAAAAGCCAGTGCAGACTTGGTAAGTCCCCAAAAGTCTGGCTCTGATGAAGACTCAGAAAATATAGACAGAGGGAATTTAAAAAGCCGGAAAGAGTGATCACATAAATAAGACCTAAAAAGATCATGTAAATAGGCACTAAAGTGAGCCTGGAAAAACTCAGATGTAAATGAAAGCCTTTTCACCTACAGAGGGTGTTTGAAAGAAGAAAGCCCGTGTCTGCGTATTCTTCCAGCTCGGGGTGCAGGAAGCAGGAGGCAGAGGAAGAAGATGCTCAGCCTGGTTATCTACCATTATCCTTTGCTGGGCACGTTATAAAAAACCCATTCAGAAATGACCCAAGAGTATTTATGGCCTTTATTAATCTTTTCTTGGCTGTTAGTTAGTGCCTCAAATTAGAGTCAGTGAAGCTTCAGTGCAAAATAGTTTTGAGGTATAGCCAGGGGCTCAATCCTAACCCTCTCTGATCTTTCCAGTTGTCCTCAATTCAAGTTTCTTTCAAAGAAGCTTTTGACCTGGCATCTCTTTCCTTGGCTGTTTCTGTACCTGAATGACCTGTGAACATTAGGCCATTCACATATTGTTGGTTTTTAAGATAAGCTTGCATTTCAGCAAAGGCCTAATGAATTTGGGAGGGATGGTGGACAGGGTAAAACCTGATTTATTGGGATGATTTTTGGTTGCCTGACTACTTTCAACCTTCACTTATTTCTGTTGCACCAACAAGATTGGACCATTCTAGCCAGTCTTACCCAAGTTGTGCAGCACAGTTACAAGTTGAAATCTGTGTGGCAAAGAGCACTTTTTGGACTGTAGGCAGCTTTGATAACAAGCAGGGTGGGAGGAGCTCAGCTTAGCCCCACCTCTAGCGCCTTTACAAAGCGCTTTGCTTTCTTTGCCTCAGCCTTCCCCATTTTCAAGATAAGATACGAAAAGAGAGGAAAAGAAAAAAACTATTTACCTTGTACAGGTCTTTCAGAAGATGGACTGCAGGGTTATAGAATGCCTAAGGAAATGCATAATTCCTTCTTCATTGCCTTAGTGCTGAGAAAGAAGTCCCTTGCTCATTTTTGGAAGATAGAATATGCTTTCGATTACATCAGTTCTATTTAGTAAATAACCTTTCCTGTGCTTTCAGCAGTAGATACTCTGAAAGCATCTGAGACATCTTCCGTAAACACTTTTTTTCTTTCCAAATCAATTCTTAGTATGCTTCACATATCTGGAAGACATCATTACTTTTGTAAAAGTATGCAACGCTAGTGATCCAGAGGGTCAGAACCATCCGTGCCTCACCTGAGGACGAATTACTTTTTATCTCTCTTTTTATCTTCCCCCACCCATCTCAAAGGATCTTTCGCATGGTAGGTCCTCATGGAATAGCAAAGGTTGTGCACCAGTGCCATATATAGTGACCTAGTTGAATGTGACCTGAGGATGAACTCTTCTGGGTTATTCAGAGTTCTCTCCAGATTTCACATCACATGCTCAAGGTGAGTGCGGTCCACAGCATAACAGGGATCCTAGCCTATGTCCACTGTGGGGAGGTAGGGAGGGACCCTGGGGCACCGTGAAGTGGTCTGCACTCCACAAGGGCTCATCCACATAGACACTGTGGGGCAAGGAGCACACGAGAACCTATGTCTGTCTCTCTTGAGATCTCCCTAGAATTAGTTATATCTTCTCCCAGATTTTTAACATCTAATAACATTTTTTCTCTAAAATTTTATTTTTTAATCATTTCTTTATATCTTATATTTTATTATTTTTCTAGCCATGCATTAACTTATTCACTCACTCAACAAATAAATATCTATTGAGTACCTACCCTGTTATGAGATGGGGAATCTGTTCATTTCTTCACAGCTAGTATATATTTGATTCAGGCAGGATTCTGGACCTATGTTTGTATTTTATTTGCATATTTACTTATTTTTCTATTTGTGAGTTCATAATTTGCTTGAGGGTAGAAGCTATGTTTTACTTACCTTTGTATTTGCAGATCTAATAGATAGTAAGTGATCAATAAACACTGAAATAATGTTAAACAAATCACATCAACTTCCATAATAAAATTGAGGCAAATTATAATTGAAACGTGTCTCATCAACATAAAACTCAAAGTATCAGTAAAATCTTGCAGGAGAAATGGAGAAGAGCATTAACCTATAGCTAATGCAAATTAGATTGTAAATTAGACTCTAAGCTTCCTGATAGCCAAGGTTAAAGAAAAATTTGCCAAGATACATCAGAAATTGGGCTTGTAGATTCAAAGATGTTGGGTCCTAGATTTTTATATATTTTAGATACTAATAAACATTTTATTATTTTATTACATTTCTGAAATTTTCTGATTATAACTATACATTTTTCTTGAGATAATTAATATTGATTCCATAGAAAAATTACTTTTTTGTTTTTACATACACTAGGTACTTGAAAAAAATGGAAAACATCAAATAATCTTGTGACAAAATAAAAGTTAATCTCTTCCAAAATGATACTTCCTTAAGCCTTTTTCATTAGAAATGATCAGATTAGTGATTTCACTCTTTTTGAGATTACAAAGTTTACACATAAAATGTGCCCAAAGGAAATCAAAAGCCTGCCCCAGTCCTCCACTAATGAAACCTGCCTAAGACAAGATCAAAATACCTGGAGAGGTCAGGTGGGCGAATCCCTAGAGTGAACACTGACATTAGGTCTGAGGCATTTTCAGCAAGCAGTGCTGTACCTGAGTAAATAGAGCCATTTATGAAGACTCAAATGGGGAAAATAGCTGAACATTTCGATTAACTAAGAGCTCTGATCGCTGATTAAGAACGGGCGGTCATGTTGTTTTTCCTATTATTTCTTTGAGCCCCTTGAAACTTCAGAGTCAGAGACAGGCTCCAGGATCACTCACTGTCCTCTGCTCCTAGGGGGTCACTAACTCTATTAAGCCTCAGTTTCTTAACCTGCAAAACGAAGATCATAATACCTCCCTCATGAGATTATTGTAGGAATCAATGCAAACAGGTGTCTACAAACTGTAGAGATACAACTTTGGTCCTGTAGATTCCAGTATTGACATGAGTTAGTTTGTTGAGTTGGGAAGTGGTTGATTTCTTATAATGACGCAAGTGTGATTAGTCAAATTCATGTAAG